AGGCCTTCCAGAGCAGACTGCTTAGATGAAAAAATCAAAAAACAGCTTCTGTAAGTTCTTCAAAACCTATCTCTTTTCTATTGGCTACCTCCATTGCAATGAGCAATTAGGAGTTTTCAGTTAGATCATGGTAGACAGTGTTATTGAGGAAAAATTTATAGTACATTGTGTCCTCTTTTCCCTATATTGTCCTGTTAGTTTAACTATATTTAGAAAAAAATAATCCCTAATTTAATGAGCAAACTAAGTAAATAAGAAACAAAGACACACAGAAGTCTGATAAGGTAAATGAGATGGTATCTTTAAAACAACATGAGGACTCACCAGTTGGAGAGGGAAAAACAAACTCCCACCAGCTCTTCACCTCTCTCTCTTTGGGGCTTGCTTTTTGTTTCCAGAAGAGACAGACTCAAAAAGAAAAACAAATCAGTTCCTATTGCTGATATAATAAATATCCAAGGCTTTTTTTATCCTTGTCCAACAAGGAGAGGTAGTCTCCTGTATGCTGTCTTGTGTCTTGCCTTTTACATGCAGCTTTTCCTAGGTTTATGCACAGTGGGTATAGAAATCCAAACTTGCCTCCTGGAGCACTTAATGTCAAACACTTACTGAAAGACGATCTCTAGCAGTTTAAGATGTTGCAGCTCTGMTGTCTGCTCAGCCCTCTCTGTTGGGCATGGCTGCCCCAAAGCAGATGTGGTGGAGAAGGATGTGTTCATGCTCCTCAGCCACTTTGGAAAAATATCCARTGATAGTTTGCAAAATTGATGAAAGTAGGGTTCAGCTGCAATACATGATTTTGCCCAATCAGGACAGGGTTTGTTCCGCCTGATATCCTGTCTTGCCAATTTTAATTCCACAGATGATGAGGGTCTTCATAACTTCCCATGGAAACCTATTTGAAAGAGTCCAGCATAGCACCATGGGCAATGTAGAATTCCTTTCCATTTACTGCATTTGCTTAGTCTCATAGAACTTCCAAATGTGTTACAGAGTTATCCTGAAATGTAACCTTCATCATGTTGATTGGTCTCTCCATCCAAAAAAAGCCATAGGCATCTGTTTGTGTTCATTATTGGCGAGCAGTACTCGTAGGGTTCAGTTGCTTGCGAGCTGCTCTGCATATGAGTAGCTCTTATCTCTGAAGGCGGCATCATGGTGTTTGATCAGGTTTAAGAAGCTTTCTATTAGCAGGGGAAAAAAGCTGCCACTTTAGGAATCAGGTGACCCAGAACCATCTCTGCAGCACAGAGGAAAACATCCCTCTCTGTTCACGCTCCTCTAATTACATTTAGTGTAGTATTGTTTCCATCTAAATTATAGCAATTATATACAAAGATCTTCTTTGAAATCATTTAATTAAAGAGTAGCTAATGCTCTGTGCTTTTGGAATGCTAATATACTGCCTTCTACTTAGGAAACCATGTTTTTCCCATTAATTATCTTTATCATAGAAGAGTTTCAATGGCAGAAGAGGTTTCTTTTTTCTCTCTTTTTAATATAATTTAAAAAAGCAAGCAATTGTGAGTTTTGTGGCCAGCAAAGTACAGAGGAGCTTTTTTACTCTCTTTCTGGACAGTCAGCTGATGTTCTGCCAGGGGAATAACACCTTCTTGAGATGGGTTCTAGGTATGTACGTTGGCTGCTTGAAGTGTTGAGCTTCTCCTGCTGTATTATCTTCTTGGTTCAAGCAACTGTTTGTGTTTATGTTCTCCCTCCATCTGTGTAATAAACACCCAGGTCAAATCCTGAGCACATATAAATCTGCTGGCCTAAATAATTCTGCCTACTGTTTAGTGACTACTGAATCACTGCTTTGGAGTGACAACATTTTAGTCACGCTTCAAATTCAGGACAAACAAGGTTCATGGGAAAACTGCCCAGTTATGCAATAATATTGTGGTGAAATATGCACCCTCTAGGAGCATGTGCTGAAAGCACCTGTGGAATAAGAGGTTCTGGGAATTACTGGAATAAAATCTCCTACCTGAGTAGAGTCRGGAAGCTTCCTTAGCAGAATATCTGTCTCCTTTCTTCTCCCAAGTGACCTGGCACCAATATTGCCATGGTCTCCATGGGTGACTATGGTGCTTTTGTTTAGATAAACCCCCAARCCCAGATTAGCAGGGTATGGTTGGTGACATACCTGTTGACAGCAAGGGACTCTCTCCTGTCCCACGATCATTCTACACAGCTTCACAGCTTGGGGCTTGCACCCTCTGGTCTAYGTTTTTCTGGGGTAGTTGCCCTGTCTGTATGTTCCTTTGTTATTCCACCAGGAAAGGTGCTCCTTAAAGCGGGTCTGAGATGAGAGATATTGTCAATGAGCATGGTAATACTGGTCGTGTTGCCATTAGCATACACTGAAGTGGTTTTATCCTATCTAGAGTCATTTCTTATTGGGCTAAATCTGTCCTAGCTAAGAAGTCAGTACAGTATGTTTTGAATTAATTCAGAAAGYTTCAGCATGACAAAGAGTGGAAGCAGCTCTTGCTGCTTTGTTCTGATATGTGTACAGCTGAGCCAGGCTCTGAAATTAGCTATCTAAAAGCCAAAAGGGGATGTGACCAGTCTGGGTCTCTCCTTTTGTACTGAGCACTGATCTGAAGGACCTGACTAGATGGGTATCRAATGCACTACTGCAGATTTTGGTCCAGAATACGTCCTCTGCATATAGGAAAAGGTTATATATTTTTCCTATTGCTTCATCTGAACCAGTATTGTTTCCTATCACTAGTGTCTTATGGCCAGGATTATATTAAAAGTATTCTTCAAACCAGACCCAGGAGCCRTCTACTTAATAAGCCCATGCCTACATACACATTTTTCATATTCATTTCTACTCTGTCTACAAAATTGTCACAGCTTCTTTTATTATATCCTTTCCCCCTCTTGCCAGGTCCTTGGAGCTTGCCTCTATGATGCTGAACACAAAGGAAAGGTGTCCATACCAAATCCACAACTCATGCCTAACAAATCTCTTCCAGCCTCCCTTTCAACCTTGAAATCCATAAGCTGAGATAAGCATAACAGGGAAAACCCAGCTGATTACAGGATGGGATCTGTGTCATGGAGCAGTGCATTTGAATTTTGATGCCATCTACAGTCTATGGGAAGAGTAGTTTAGGCAGGGGCAGGGAGCAGAGCCAGCAACCCTGCTTGATTGTAGTTCAAATTAAAAAGAAGGAGAGTAAGAAAAGGCAACTCACTGATGGCACAGCAGGATCTGGATTGCAGTCAGTGCTTAGGGACTCAAAAGAAGTTTTCTCCTTTATTTCTCTTGCTTTCATAGGGAAATTTGTAAATCGTCTGTCTCTTTTCCTCTTTTACTTTTTTCATTGGAATATATTAACCACACAAAAAATAACCTCGTAAGCACAGAAATTATATTAGTGAAAAATTTGATAATGGGAAACAATGCTCTTTTTCTATTTTCTAAATCTTCCAGTAAGGATGTTATAATAATATTTCCTGCTGCGTGGCTGTCAGAATATTTGGGCTTCATTCATATAAATTCTTAAAATCTGGAACTGTTATTATAGATGAATTTCTAGCTTTTTTTGTACATTCATTTGAAATGACAAAGAAGTTGATTAATTTCAAATGCGCTCTATCACTGTGCGTTTTCTGCTATTACTTGCGTTGAGGTGTTGCCCCTGTCAATAAGAAGCTGTAGTTTTATTTGTGGCTTTCAAAGTCTGRTCACTTGTGTCCCTACTTTCATCTCCTCCTTGGAAATCCAGCTGCACCTGATTGGAAAGCTGTTCCTTACTGAGAAAATCATGGCTGGCCAAGGGAAAGGACACTGTGACTTGATCGAAAACTGAGTGCCCCGCAGCACTCGTGGAATGTTTCTGGATAGATGAGCCTTTGCCAGGATAGCTGATGTTATTTTATAAATGCATTCTTTTGCTGTGATTTAGCTTTATTTTGCAAAAGTGTGAGCTTTCAACATGTGGATTTTCTTAGTATTTGCAGTGATAATGCTTTGATGATGTGTACCACTAATACTATTGCTGCTTGGTCCAAGCTAGCATGTTACTTTCCCYAAAATCCTATAGCTGGGAGAATATACGGCTCAGAGAGACCTGTGTTCAATTTTAGTCTGATCTTGGAGAGGGCTCCGAGGTGTGCTCAGTTTTCATTGATCTCTTTGATGATCCCAGTTATAGCAGAGCTTCTGCTATATATATATTGCAACAGATTTGTGCTTCAGTTTCAAATTACATTCAGAGTCTCTCTCATCCTGTTTTTCAGCCAGCTCCAGCMTCTCCTGTATACTGTCTTACTTAGCATGGATCTCCTGTTGTGCTGGGCTTGCCTAGGATAATATGTCATTTTCATCCTAAAAATCAACTTCTAATTTAGCTAAATGAGTAATGGACTCATATCAATAATTGCTTCTGATGAGTGAGCTCAAAAGAATTAAGAAAAGTTTATAAGATTGTTTATGACCCAGTGCTTGCTCCAGTCTGCTTTCACCAGTTCGAATGGAGGCTGCCGTCTTTGCAGATTGCTCACTACCAATATCCCACGTATACTGAGACAGGTGCTTCTTTTACAAATCATTAAGTAGAAAGTGCAGCTAGAAAGTTCTGCACTAAAGAAAGTGAGGCAACTAAGCTCATTTTGAGTCAACCAAATGCATCCATGGCTTTATTCGTTTGAGCACTTCCCTTGGCATTAGCCACTTTACTTCCTAGAGTGGTTATTTGTTGTCCTAAGTGATACCTGGTTTGCCCGTTAGACTTACCTGTAGCCTGTTGTGCTAGGTGCTAGAGGCATGGAAGATCTTTCAAAACAGGTTGTGCAGAAGACCAGGAAAGAGCTAGAGAATCTCAGGATGTGATAGGAAATGGGAAACAAAATATCACAGCTTACTAACATTTGACTGTATCAAGCTCTAAGACTGTGTGTTGGTTTCTGCAGTTGAGATTCATRAAAACATGTAAACATATCCCCAGATGAATTCATGTCTTTCTTTTCTCTCCAATGCCTAGAGTTTTTGGCCACTTCAGTCTCCGTTCGGAATGGCAGCTGGTCAAGGTGGACTACAAGTCTCTCTTCGGCCGGAGGTGTAACAGAGACGACTACCAAACCTGGCACCTGCATAATCAGGTACCCTCACTGTGTAGGGAGGGGATGGAGGCCTCCTTTTCCCAAACTCTGTGTTGCAAGTTTGGAGCATAGTTGTGGGTTTTGGCATCCATTAAGTCACTGTTCTAACCTGATGATACTGTATTTCCCTTAAAGCACATGCATTAAAGAAACCCTACAATTTCCATCGTCTACAGGTGAATTAGGGACTTGCTAATTTCTCTTTGTATGAAAATATTCCTTTGCACCAGCTCTATCTTTTCACTGTCAATGCTCAGGGCAATGTAAAGCCTCATCTTGTGACTGAATTGTAGGAGACATTGAGCTCTTTGTAGCTCTGTCAATGACTCAGGAAAATAATTTTATTTCACTCTGACTGTATTTCTTCTACTCAAAAAAAAAAGTAGAAACACAACAGAATAAAAATGTTTATACACCTTGCAGGCATCTSTAAAACTCTGGAGAACTGTTGAATAAAAGACACGTAAGAAGGAAGAAAAAAAAAATTATTCAAGAGTATATGCTTTCCTTTTCATAAACCCGGCTTAATTTCATGCTGGATAGATTTAGGTCCTGAAGCCACTGGAACCTAGGGAGCTTGGTACTCTTACAGATTGCTTAGGGCTTACTGGCCAGGTATGATCTCCCACTCCCAGCAGGGATATTGCGCTGGAGCCAGAGCTATCGGCACTGTGACTTTCTGGAATGAATCTGTGAATTAGAAGTAAACATTAATTTGGCAAGGACATATCAGATGGGTGAAGTCATAAAAGAGAACCAACGAAAATAATTTAAATGMAAGAAAAGAAAGAATATGTCAGAAAACAGACAACCATCTTGGGAATCAGTAGCAATGATAAATAGAAGTACTTTAGTTAGGCATTGTCCTTTTTTTCTTGCCTTTATGCAGCCAAGTTATTTCCACCTCAGATAAAGTTCTGTTTATAACAGTTTGCCTAAACATCAAATGTTTCTTTTGAATTACTCGCATTAGTGCTCTTTAGTGTGCAAAAACCCCAGTGTAAAACTCCATCAGAATTACTGGAGGGCTGTAACAAAGCCAGATTTTAGAAAAAGAAAACCAGGACTGCTAGATTCTAACCTAAGATGTTCTCAGTTTGGAGTTTTGGGGCTTATGTGGTTCCTCCCATAGTGGATGACCTTTGGCATGTGGGAGAAATCCTGACATATCCCTTGTGTTTTGAGGATAATCTTTAAGACTGGATATGTCAGTGGATGCCMTCTGAAGGACGGCGTAACCGGGTGCCTGTTATGGTTTGGGCCCCTTGGCACTTTGGGCCTGTGGTAGCTGGCATTGCTCTTCACTAGGGAGCATCCTCTGCTCAGCTGCTCTCAAGATGGCTTTTGCAGTGGTGATGGGAGGTGTGATTGAACTGTGTTTAAGGACAAGTTTGCAAAGCTGAAAATGGAGCTAGAGTCTTAAATCCCAAATCTTCCAGTGGTAATTAGACGCTTTAATTGCCTTTTGTGTCTTTGAACAATATAGTCTGTTTAGGGACCAGCTATGACCGCAACTCTCTGTTTTTCTTTTTCCTCTTTTTCTTTGGCTGCTGAAGGGGGAGCCCTGTGTCATGGGAGAGAGGAAGATTTATAAAAAACGCAAGCCCGGAGCCCAGTGTTCCCTAAGTTGGGACTATTCCCAAACTGTAGTGTCAGAACCGTGTGTCTGTGGCCAAGGGGACTTTGAGTGGTGAGTATGTGACTCTGCTAAATATTAAAGTGACTCTTTTGTGGCTTTAGCAGTGGCTGAGTTACCTGTCTGGGCGGAACACCTTGCAGGGAAAGTGGGTCTTATGCTTCCTGGCTTAAGGGGACCGTGTAGAACAGGTTTGCTGCACACACCATGCAGGTGTGGAACACCTTCATGCAAGGGAGATGTTCACTTCATCTGTGAGGTATTCATCTCGCTGGAAATCCAAACCTGTAATTCAAAGGCAGGAAATTGCAAGTGTTAATTGACCTTGTTATGACTGTCATTTTGAAAGTATGACAASCAGGCCCTTCTCTTTGATCATGCCTTACAAGAGGACGAAGGAATCTTTCATCACCTCCAAGGTCGCTGAGAGCCTAAGSAGCAAGCCAGAGCTAAGCCGCACTTTTTTAAAAAAATCTTACTTTCATAATTTCTCTGAATTCCTGGGAACTATTTGTTGCTTTTTAGCACTGTGTTTTTGTGAAATGCACTGAAATTGCTCTGTGACGTGATTATGCAGCCCACCCTTGTCTGATGTAGCCACTTGTTTTGCATAAATATTGATGTCTTTATCTTAATAGGAGTAGAATTTCCAAACTGTTTTAAGGTCCCTTTGGAAAGCAGCTTAAAAAATCGGGAAAGAGCGAACCAGTTTGATACTGTTCTTACATTCAGAGGCAGGAGTTCTGGGGAAAAAGCACTGTCCAGGATCTCTACGCGAGGAATTCTTAGAGTAAACCAGTGGTAGACTACTCAAAGAACTGAGACTGCCAGTCCCTGTCAAGACTGTCAAGACAGTCCTTGTGCTGTTTGGACTTAAATGTTCAAAATGTCATTGAAATAGAGTTGAAAATACTCTTAAGAACAAATTGGCTGAGAAAATACTTTTGTTTTTATAGTAAATTATCGGGATCATCAGCTTATGCCATATCAGTGTACTTTCATAAAGTACACTTTTATATATATACTTCATTTATACTCTCTTCTTTCCTAAAGTGGTGTCAGGTAGGAGATTGACACACTTAGTAGGACTTAGGCCAGCTGAGACCCACAATTCTTTTCTAAAACAGACACATAAAACTACAGCAAAAACAAATAATTAAATAGACGAAAGTGTTTTCTTCAACATTGGAGTAGTTTTGCTCTAAGAGAGATTTGGGGATATAGAGCAGAGATTTTCATCTTATCTGGATGGATGTTTAATTTGTTTCTAATGCCAGAGTTACATCTGAGACTTCTTAGCTGGACTCATGAGATCTGTCCTCGTTCTTATCCTGGGGACTTGCAGGATGAACAAACTTTTCTGCCTTGCAGTAACTGCCTATAACATCGGCATGCCTCTGAGCTGAACCAAATACTCATCTCCCGAGATGCCTCTGAATCTGCTCTTTTCTTTGCCACTTTCTACCTCACCAGCTTTCTCATTTCACAGTCCACCCTGTTGTCTCTTCTAAGTCTTAAGTGGAAAACTGCAGTAGCTAAATTGGCTTTAAGTACAGTGTTGCCTTGAAAAGACACTGCATCAAAATACACCTTTACAGTCAATTGACCTGTTCCTTGCAAACATTGAGTATGGTTRTTGGTTAGTCTTCTAACTAAAATGAGAGATTATTGCTTCTAGCCCTTCAGAGGAAATACAATTACAGGACACTAACATGGGTTTTGTTTCAGACTCTGTACTGCCAACAGAATTGTTAACGGGATTCCAATTGCAAAATTGTTACCACCTTTTATTTAAGGAAGCTTTTTAGTCCTAGTTTGCACCAGGTTGAAGGTGTGAGGCCATAACAGTTTGAAAATACCCCTCGTAATGCTGCAAAAYTGGATGCCAATGTTAAGTTACATTAAAAGAAACTAATTTTTGAGGATGGAGGGTACACTTATATGCTCTGACTTCTGCTGTCTAAAGTGTGAGACATCTTTAATGAGTGACAAGATACAGATTGTTCTAGGACATGGTTTATCTGCCTCCTTTTGTGTTTCTGTATGAGGAGGTGTGGGGCTGACACCTTTTCTGTCTACTAAATAGCAGAAGGGTCTAGACCAGGAATTCTTGGAGATACATCTCCACTGTAGGTATGTGCAGTTGGAGAGGCATCTCCTGTGCTTTCACTTAGTCCTTTTGAAACAGATGTCCACTCAGACATTTTAAGTTGGGTTCACACCATTGGCATTTGTGCCTGGAAATTCTGACTGCTCTGTCTCTTGTGAGCTGAGTGGGTCCAGTAGAGAGTTAGAGAATGGATGAGGAGTGACAAATGGGGTCCTGTAAACACAAATGCATGACCTAGGGCACCTTCTGGGCTAAGCAGAGCCCTTCCTACCTTTAGCACGCTTGGATGAAACCAACTTCATGACTTGCTTCATGGCTGGTGGCGGAGTGGACTGCTTGGCAGGTCCACTCCTTGCTGTGAGATAGGAGACTGATCTGAATGATCCAGGACCCCGCAAGCCAAAACCAGGGGTAACTACAAGGGGTAACCCTTGTAGTCATCACAGAGCAAACTCTGGCCTTTTTTTTCTGACAGAGAGAATGGCAGAAGAAACTCAGAAGTGATATTAAAATGCTCACTGATGTTTCTCTTCCCTCCTCCTGCTTCTTTATTTACTCTGTCTTCCCTGGGAAAGACAGAGCAGCAGCTGGACTTGATTATTTCCTTAACTTATGCAAACCCGAGGGCTTATGAGAAAGAAGGTGGGCAGCATGTGAGGTTTTAATATACATTTACCAGAAGTTAATGAACAAGCACAGAACCTTGAGGCATACAGCAGTGTTGTCTTTAATTTTATTAAATATTTATGCGGCTCTTTTCTTCTTTGGGGCAAAGTACAGCTCCTCCTGAATATTTTTAATTACCAAGTCACTGCTAGGCATTTTTGACTGTGCAGGTTGGACCCAYTGAGAATGAGTAAATTGAATGTTGAGAGAAAAAGCATTAGGGAATCTCTGAATCTTTTAAAGTAACAGAATTTTTGCCCTCCAAAAGAAGTAACAGTAGCAGCTTGGGTCACTGGGGACACAGCACAATTTTGTCTTACCAAAGCTCTTCTTGGAGACTTCTGYTGGCAATTCAGATTCTGAAGGGGTGAAAGATAAAACATAGAGTATCTTAAAGGGCACAGAGAGCTTTCAATGCAATGGCTTCTGTGATGTCTTTGTTTCCACAGAGATTCCATGTGTTGGCATTTGTTAACTTGCTTTAGGCATAAATCCAGAATCCCTTTTTGTTCCTCCCTTGAATCCAGCCTGCCAATAAGGGATATATGTAAGAACCTAATTCAGAGCTTATTAAAACGTAAAGAACATTTTGGATTAATCCCATTGCTTCATCATTGTATTGGCATGCAAGGGCAGCTATAAAAAAAAAAGCTGTGTGTGCTTCCATTCTTTGGTGTTCTCAAAAAACACCATCATTCTGGATTGCCTTCCCAAATGACACAACATCACAAAATCCTTAGGCTACCAAGCTACCAGTGTTGTTTTAGATGGTTGTTGGAAAAGCATTGGCTGTGTTTTTTTSACTGGCTAGTTGTAGCTTGGTCAGAAGAGGAAGACCATTAATGTATTTACCTTGACTAGCTGCTCAAAAGTGCTCCTAGTGTTTTATATTCCTAACTACTTTCTTGGGGAAAAAAAGTGTCATCTTGGAATTAATCTGGTGTATTTTGAAAACAAAKACTGAAATAAGCAGCAAAACCAAGAGAACACAAGAAAATAAATTAATATGGATTAGTAAGAAAAAAATAGCCAAGGATAATCTTCTTTCTGAATTCCTGCCTCTATTTTGTTTGTTTCTGAACTCCTGCCTCTTGTTTTGGAATGAAGTCTGCTAGTGCTTTGGTTGGTGGTCTTAGTATTGTCAGGTCTCACTTGTCTTCTAAGAAAGTATTTCTGCCCTTCAAACTGATGAAACATTTTATCATGGATGACCCTAATCCATGATGTCGTGTTGTACAGCAGAGCACCACCAGCAAACACACATGTTGGGGAACAGAAGTGTTACCTAAAATTCCGAGCTAACTCTAAGGAATGGGTACTAGCATGCACTTATCATCTATTGTCTCCATAGTGACTATGGCTATGAAAGACACAGCAACAACCAGTGTGTCCCAGCTTTCTGGTTCAACCCATCCTCCCTGTCCAAGGACTGCAGCATTGGTCAAAGCTACTTGAACAGTACTGGGTAAGTGAACCTAAATCTCTCTCTATTTTTGGTGATCTTGCAGTAGGCAAGAGAGCCTGGATGGTGCTTATTCTCTGCATCCCACCTGACTCTTTTCCAGGCTTATTTGGGAGGTAATATTTGCAGCAGCTTCTGTGTGGAACATTGCCTCATTCTTCAGAGACAGGGAGAAGTACATTAACATAAGTGACAGGTAGATATTGTATTGCTATCAAGTGATGTATGATCCCTGGAGCCCAGACTTGGAGCTCCCCTTTGCTGCAAAATTAAAACACGAATCAAGAAGGTCTATCTGAGTGACATCTGAACATTTAAAAGGACAGGCTTGAGGTATTTCACATCATTTTCSATGCAACCTCTTCCCATCTTACAGCTCTTATTTATAACAGCTTTTGGGGAGGCTCAAATGTACAATTTTTTTCCTCATAAAWTTTTTTCCCCTTTCATTCTCACTTTGTGTATACAGTACCGTGAGTTTCAGAAACGCTGCATGTGCTGGTTTTTCATGGTTTCATCTGGAACAGATGGCAAGTGTTGGTTTATTAGGGTAGTGTTGTTCTGCAAACGCTATTCCGTTATGGTGGGGTCCTCTGAAATGCTGGTTCCACATGCTGCTGTGGAGCTGCCATGGTCCTTCCCTGACACTGTGTCCTCTAATGCCTTTGTAGGGCTGCTTCTGAGCAGGTCCTGCAAGCTGGTTTCTAATGACAGGGTAGTTCATGGAGGATGATTAAAGGTGGCTGAAGAAAGTGTGGCCACCTTGAGTTTGAAGTCACTTTACCTCAGAGATGCTCTTTCAGCTGAAAGTTTGCTACGAATGTGGGATGCGAGTGCAGGAGCCCTGGCCCATATGYCTGCCTGTAGGCTTCGTGACAGGCAGCAAGAACAAAATAGCTGGGCCCTTGCTCTTTTTCCATCCTTTTTGACCAGTGAAAATATTTTAAAAGGAGAGGATCCCCCTAAACAATACTGCAAATTGCCAAGTATCTTGCAAATTAGCTAATTCCTTTGCCTCCAAGCAGAGCTAAGCAAAATACAAAAAAAAAAAAAAAAAAAACACCTCACATTCCTTGAATCATTTTAAAATTGGAGTGGGCAAAGCCCTTACCAGATCATTCCAAGTGCTTTCTAGCAGAATAGAGGCAGACACAATTTAATAAAAAGCATAATAAAAAGCTGGTACACAAGGGGCAATCCTGCAGGCGCCGGGAGTTCGGGGCAGCACTCTGGCTTTTAGCAGCACAGAGTAATTCACCTCCACAATGAGTGTTGGTTCTCAGTGGTGCCACTGAGACTCTCTGGAGAAGATTGGATTGTGATTTGTTTGGGTTTCTCTAGTTTAATAAGGCATTAGGTTTCTTTGACACTTTCAGTGCCGGTCCAGTCAGTCTTTAAAAAAAAGGCATATGTTAATATGGAAAAACAAAGAAAATTTTCCACTCTCCTCCTGAATCCTCTTTTTGTTGCAACTTTCCAGGTACCGAAAGATTGTATCTAACAATTGCACAGATGGTTTGAGAGAGAAGTACATGGCCAAGATGGAGAAATGCCCTGGAAAAGCACCTCGGGGACTACGCATCCTCACTAGTGATGGAAAATTGGTCACGGAGCAGGGACACAATGCCACCTTCATCATCCTCATGGAAGAGGTGTGTCACTGTGCTCAGAGAAGCTTTGCAGCGTGACATTACTGGCACCCTTTTCCTTTTAGCTGCTAGGCTAAGGAGAGGAAAATAGTGGTCTGGTAATGAACATAAAATGCCAAACACTTCTGAGACTTAGGAGAGAGACAGGTCAGGAACATAGAAGCCTGCTTCTTCAGGACCCAGTCTCTGACAGTAAACAGGATTGGATCTCCAGGGAAATCATATTAGAAACAGTGCAGGTGTAGTGTCTCTTCGCTTCCTAATCCTAGAGTAGACTCTGTTGGCAGTTTGGACCTGCAAGAATACAAGAAAATAGTATAAGTCTACCTCAGAATTTTTTTCTGATGATATATATATATATATTTTAAACACACCTCTATTAATTTAAAATCTTCTACAGAAACTTAATGCTTTGCCAGGACAGCTCTAATCTGACAGGGCCTCTTTACACACTTCCTCAGAGGTTCACACATGCTCTGCTTTTATACAAAGGGGATTTCCTGCCTACCTGGCTGATTCTTTTATTCTCCAGACTTGACATGATAAGACGATTTGTGTAGACGCTAGTGAGTGGGAGTTCAAAAAAGAGCAGACATAATCTAAAAATTAGGAATCTAGTRGTAATTTATTAGGGAACTCAAGTGGAACTGCTGCATATAAAGAATGATAAACAGATGGGGAATAAAGAATCAGTCAAGGTAGCTGAAGAGCAGAGTCTTTACAAGACTTCAGAGATTGAAGAGGCAGCTGAATAAATAGATGAGAATCTTTAGCTCTATGTCCTGTGTCTAAGGATAGTTAGAAAACTATTTAATTAAAACAGTTCTTTTCTGAAGAAAAAGGATGTTTAAGTACACATCTTCATGAGTGAACAGTATATTCCGCAGAGAATTTTTGTGCTGAATTTGTTTCTTGAAAGCAATTTGAAGAGGAGGAAAAAAAAGGCAGTGAGATTTGAGGCAAAAATATTCCAGTCTTTCAGTGTAAACTGTGAATGTCTGCAGGCAGAGTCAGGAAAACAAATGAATTTTCATCCCAATGTTTTCTGAAAGGTAGAGAAAATCATTCTCCAAGAAGACCTAATTATTAGATACCCTGCYGTCATGCAAATTGATTCCTGATTCCCTCCACTTTCTCTGGTTGGTCTCTTTCTTGGTGCTTTCTATTGCACCTATGTCTATACTCAGGAGCTGAACTGTAGACTGAGCCTTCTTATAGGTAAATCTGCAGCCCATGTTCAGCCTCTTGACTCCCCCAGACCAGCCTAAATGATGTTCGTGTGGCAGCAGTGGTTACTGAACCTTTCTGTCCCAGATCTACTGTTTGTACTGCCTCACAGCTTCCCTCTTTCAGTAATTACACAGTGATGATAAAGCTCAGTCATAGGGTGATAACTACAAGTGAGCGGAGAAGACAAGCAGTGATATTCAAAGAACAAGCCCAAGTAGCTGTTAGAGCTCTGCAAATCCATTAGCAGATTGCAAAACCATATTTGTTAAAAGAGATACCCACATCCCCACCATATCTTCATGCAATTTGACAGCTCTGTTAGAGAAACACCTTTGATGTCAGCAGCAATGGGGTTCTGTGCCTGTGAAATATCATGGGAAGAAAAGTTCACTCCAGAACCTCTTCTCCACCAGCAGTTGCTTTGTTTCTGATCCTTCGGTGTTCACTTTCTCTGAACTAAAATTTCTCTTACCTCTGGCTTTATGTGGATTGTTTGAAGTTATATGACTGAAATATATTGCGTGAGTACACACACACACACAGAAACAAATGTGTATTGGAGGCAGAGACTTGGTTCTTAACTAGTACACTCAGGCTAGCACACTTTTAACATTTTATTTCCTAGTGGGGAAATAAATTTATTTCCCTTGTGGGGAGAGGTGGGGAAAGAAGGGGGGAAAAAAAAGAGAGAATTAGTGTGCAAAGGCTGGGTTTTCACTAAAAAACATCTTTCCTAACTGGCGGGAAAGATCACATGCAACTGCTTACCCATGAGAAGCCTGTTCCTGATTCTCTAATTCAAATCTTCTCATTTCAAAAGGAATCAGATTGGGGAAGCAAGAAGGAAAAAGAAAAGAARATGTAAGGCAGAGAGGGAAGCTGACATGGCAGGTGCAAAAGTTTTCGACTGAAGGTCACCAGTGATGAATGCAGCACAGATCAAATTTTTATCTTCTGTTCAGTGTCTTCCACATGATATGAGCTTGTGGTCTTAATACTTCCCCTTGAGAAGTAGTTCTGAAGGATTTAACAAGCTGTAAGAGCCTTTCTACTAGATAACTCAGTATCCCAGGGGTGTAATTTTGTCCCTGCTAGAGAATTTCATAGAGTGACTCAAAAAGCTCTGTCAGAAGGATCTTATTGGCTACTCAGTGTTACCTATGGGTTTTGATGTCACTTCCACTCTAGTTCTGTATGTTTTAGTTTTGGTTTCTTATGTATTTTTAATGTCCTAATAGGACAGAGATGAAAATGAAGCCCTAATAAAGTTAAATAGGAAAACTCCTCTGGCCCCTGTGGAGTGGGAAGGAGAGAGAAATAACACTGAGGTCCCTGACACTTGTGGATGACTCTTTCTCTGCGAGAGCCTTTGACAGATGATGGCACCTTTGGTCTTAGTTGCTGGTCATTTGTGTTAGAGTAGACGGTGAGCTGTTTTATCTTGAYTCAAGGTCCTTATTTCCTGTGATATGCCTTTCTCTTGACTGTCCTGGGATGATAAGAAGTCATGATATGAAATGGTGTATGCAGAAAGCTAACGAGATTTAATCTGATGTTTAGTTTTAATTCAGTTTAGTGAAATCATTGCAGTGGGCTTTAGTTCTGTCTAAATTAGCCTTGTTTTGTGTTACTTTTAATCAGTTAATCAGTTTTGTCAGCTGAGGATAAGCATAAAGTAAGGCTCCCAGGAACTGAAATAACAGACAGTCCTCCTGCTCAACTATAGTGGTTTAAAGCGTGACTTAAATTAAAACAGTGCAGTTGCTGCCTCTAGACAATACCTGCAATTCTAGAATCTCTTGTCTTTTTTTTCCTCCTTCATTTAATAGCTGTCATAGAGAGTAATCCTAAAAGAAGTTTTCTCGTCATCTGCTCCATTCTCCTGTGTATCACCAGGCCCTATCTCTGTCTTGACTGGCATTAGACAAAAGCTGTCAGTCCTYTGTGTGGAATTCAGCCCACATAAATTCAGCCGTCCAAAAGTTACATGTCTGGCTGAAATTAGTCATCTAGACTCCCTCTGTCATCAGGGTAGAGAGATAGACACTTGCAGAGGATAATTCATGTCACCTGTCTCAGACACTTGTTTTAGGATGGGATATATTGGTCTTTGCAGGTCTCTGTCTCTTTCCACTGTCTGCTCAGGAAGCCTGGAAAACTAGTTAAACTTACCGTGCCTCAGTACCTGGGTACCGTTTCTTTGAAATATCTTGCAGGGCCACATCAACAATTGTTCAGTCTCCAGAGTGTCCCTAGTGATCCCATATGCATCTCCAGAGTGTCCCTAATGATTCCATACACATCTGGGAATCTCAAATAGACATATACCCTGTTACAAAAGCGGTGTCTCCCATCTCAGCTGCCTTTAATGGACACCATGGGTTGCGCAAAGACCCGGCCACATCACTGACCCTTAGCCACCAAGTGTGTATTGCAGCAGGTGATTCAAACACGGTCCCCTTGGTATATCCATGGCACTCTGTCCAGCCAATATCACTGAACCCAATATCGTGGAACAGTATCTCATTACAGTTGTAAATTTTGAATTGAAGCATTGCTGGTATAAAATTACCTGGTGTTGATTTGAGTCTGGCCCTGTTGGGGATTGACAGAGCAAGCTGGGCTTTTTTCGGGGTAAAGCTCTGGGTTTGTGTTCCTGCTAATGAAATGGAGCTGAGAAGGGGAATAAATCATTCCTACTAGACCAGTTTCCTAATTCTACCTTTCTGCGGCAGGGTGATCTCCAGAGGACAAACATTCAGCTTGATTTTGGAGACGGCATCGCAGTATCCTATGCTAATTTCAGTCCTGTTGAGGATGGCATTCGGCATGTTTACAAGAGTGCTGGAATCTTTCAGGTGACAGCATATGCGGAAAACAGCCTGGGCTCTGACACCGCTCTTCTCTTCCTACATGTGGTCTGTAAGTACTCCCAGCTACTGGACTCCGTGAGTGAAATCCCTACTCCACTGAAAATCCCTGTAAATTCAGGGGAGCTGAGGGGTTCATGTGACCTCATCTACATAAACAACTCCCACTCTTCCAAAGTCTTGGACTTTCAGGCTCCCTCTATCCTACTAGATAAAAGTTACTGAATGTCTTGAGAACATGCCTTTTYACACCATTATATTTATAGCCTTCACAGATACAGTGAAGGTCCAAATATGTGTTTTCAATGTTTCATTAATAACAGAGAGATTTCAACTAGTCTGCCAAGTTTTGAGCCACCCRTTCAGAATTTGGGTGATTTCAGTGCTGATTGCATATGGCAAAAATATTATAAAGAGCACAGTTCCTGGGATATGTATATGCTAACTAATGTACTACTTTTCTTATTTCATATGTTTTCATATGTTTGACATGCTCACCCATCTTTCCCCTCCATTTGGAAGGTGAATGCAATTTCCCTCCACTTGGTGCATAATCAGACTGAAGTATAGAGTTCTTAGGGAAATTTCTCTAAGCCATGGGAAACAGCAAAGATTGTGAAATCTAGGACAAGATTAGGATGATCCTGGATTTTTGTCCTGTTTTCAGGCTGTTAGGTCTCCCTCTGTGMTTGTTRCATCTTTTAGGTTGTGTTCCCAGCAGTATTTGTAGGCCATGCATGTCCTTCTGCTTTGCTTGTTGGGATACCTTCTCTCCTGTCTGCCTTTTACTTGATCTTTTCCATGRGAAGGAAGCAAGTCAGAAATTCCCAAAACAAAGATCATTTTTCTTTCTAATTTCAAGCTCCCTCTGTGAAGGAATAAATGTTCCTTGAAGCTTTTACTGTGTTCATAGTTCCCTCAAAGTCAATCATAGCTGCATTTAACAGCCTGTTATTGAGCATTAACTGTTTCTGCCTTCACCTTGGGCCATTAGCTGACAAAAGTGCTGGTTACCTGGTAATAACAACTAACTTCATATGGATTATCTAGATTTATCATAGGAACAGCTGTCTTAGTTTTGGACTGGATGCACTGAGCTAGTTCTGAGCATTTACTTCTATTACATTTTGTTTTACATTGACACTTTTTTTTTTTTTTTTTTTTTTTTTTTAAGTTCTTGTGAAGCAACCCTGTCACTACCTTAAATGCTTTGGCATGACATTATATACATCTTCCAGTTGTTCCTCCTGTTTTGCTTGCGAATGCTGGAATGAGCTACAGTAAAGTTTCACAGAAAACAAAATTTGGCAAAGCTAATTGATCCCCCACCACACACTAAGAATTCTCAAGGTCTGACCAAAGTCAGGAAGATATCAAGGGAACATTTTTTGCCTAACATCAAGAATCTTTACTCTGAAGACCTCGTGAAGAGGAAATGTCAGCACATATTTAATCAAGCCATGAACACTTTGCATGTCATCACATTTTAACTGCCTTTGCTAAAATTTGCCCACAAATTTTGGTGCTCAGTGGATGTATTCGCAAGCTCTTGCTCKTTTGTCTCCTGTCCCTCAAGGCCTTGAGAGCAGCTTGCCCTATGCAATGCACTGCCAGTTCAGAGCCCTCACACTTCATTTAAAAAATCTCCCTGTCTTCTAAACTTAGCGCTGACCCTGTCTGAGATTAGCAGTGTGGAAAATGGGCCCTTCTGCCTCCTCTAGAATTAAGAGTGATAAGGAATGAGTGATCTTGTTTATTAATCTTTTATCTTGCTCTCTTGCTTGTTGACAGAGATTTTTTGCGGTGCTGTAATAGTCTCTGTGCTGGCATAAGGCATTTGATKTATTGAAAGAAAAGATTCTTGCTGATCGCAACTGAGTGGAGAGAATTTAACTCAAAGTCTCTAATAACAAACTGCCTCTTCCCACAGGTCCAGTGGAGCATGTCCATCTGAGTGTCCCCTTTGTTGCCACCAGGAATAAAGATGTCAACATTACTGCRGTGGTCTGGCCCAGCCAGGCAGGCACACTTACCTACTTCTGGTGGTTTGGGAACAGCACAAAGGTAGAGCAACCTTCTGGTTTATTTTTGCTTCCTAAACTTGTTGCACCAGACAGGGAACTCTTTGAGACGCAATGAAAACCTGTCTTTGCTTGTTTTGTATTCCTTGGAGTTTTTCCTTGTCTAAAAAAAGTTTGTCGTTATCTGACCTTTGTGAATTTGTTTCCTCCTATCTCACATTGTTGTTCTTAGGAGTCATTACATTTTACATTTGTTGTTGTCAGCCCTGCAGAGCTTTGAAGACCACTGTTATTACCAGAGTTCACTTGCAACTTAACTAAATTATATACCACTATATATGGGATAATAGTGCCTTTCAACACAGTGTTTAAAAACTGCTGGTGTTCCAATAACCAYGGGCCTTTCCATTATGTACCAGGATGTAGTATATAATGCTTGATTCCGACACAATACTTTAAAGCTGTTGATGTTCAAATAACCAATTGTATCTAGAATTTCAAGCTAGAATTGTTTCTATATCCAAGTTCACAGCCTTGGATATACAGATGTTAGAGATACAGGTGAGACTTCTTTGTACTGAGCTTCCAAGGGACTGGCAAAATATGTTACAAAGAGCTTTTTTTATCAGTAGTTAAAATAAATGAAACTACAAAATGGAGTTCAGAGASAGAAAACAAAGAGTTGCTCATTAGCTTCAGCTATTGCAGGTTAAGGAGTGTGAGAGATAATGCACAGCCACTAGATTCCATTATTGCAGTTGTGAGCTGTGCAGCTGATAATTTTACAATTTAGCATCTGCTCTTATTTGAAAAGGCAGTTTAGATTGTGTTATTGTCTGCATTATTGATTTGCAATTGAAGGTGGGAACTGGATTCATTTTTGCATGAAAATATGGAATTCGAAATAAAAAAAAAAAAGCAGAGACACGRATATTTTATTTTATCTTTGAACAAAGTTGCTTGAGTTGCATCCTCTTCGAAACAGAAAGTAAGCTAGAAAAGAGAGAGCAAACCTGTGCTGTTTCCTGAAGATTTCTACATAATTCTCGTGGTGCTTGGTTCTGGGGTTGTCAATATGATCTGCTTTTAGATACATTAGCTCAAATTTCAGACTTGCCAGCATTGGAGTACAGGCAGATTTGGACGTCTTTGGGATGGATAGTTTGGAAATAACTTGAATTGGAAGAGCATCTGTGTTGAGGTTTGATGTGGGGGCAAATTTGGTAACAGAAGAACCCCCTTGTGTTTCAGCCGATGCTCCAAGGTTAGAGAGACTGGGGGCAGCTGAACTCATCTCTTAATAGGGATACCAAATACTATACCTATAGGCCCTGGTAACTGTAGGCCCAATTCTGGTAGTACCAGATTCACAAACAGTCTGTTGACTGTAGATCTGGTTGCCTTCAAAACAGCGAATCGAGCTCATGGATAGTATGATCAACTATAGGCCCAACTCTGGCAGTATCAAGTTGACGAACAACCTGTTCTCTGTAGGTCCAGTTGCCTTCAAAACAAGTAGTTGAGATCACAAATACCGTGATTTACTCAAATGGAACATTTAGAGAATAGGTTTCAGATGTCAGCACAGGAAATTCCCTACTACAGTGTGGGCTTCTTAGCTAGTGCCTAGTGTACGTACGCAAACCTCTGTAATGCCATAACTTCTATTAGGCACTAGTTTTTCTCTAATTTCCCCCTTCTCGAGCAATTCTCTCACAATCTGGTAACACCTAGGAGTGATTTTACATGTTGCTGAAACAGAGGTGCTATTTAGTAAAGATTTKGCCTTGTGGCCAAATCAAGGATCCAGAGCATCTTTCACTCTGTGCAGCGTTGTCTCAAACCACCTCAGGAAGCATACTTCTATTGTGCCCCTCAGCATTTGACAAAAGTGTGGCAAAGTGTATAAATATGGCAACAGGAACAGCTTTTTTTTTTTTTTTCCCTCTTTCCTCCTCTTCCGGGACACCAATCTGCATGACATCAAAACTCCTCTTGGCCTTCTGGCATGTTCAGTATGCATCTCAGATCCCTGTGTGTGTGCCCACTCCCCGGCACTCTGTGGTGCTCTTAGTGCAGGTGGAAGATGCAGAGACATCTGTGTGTGAATGGTGATGTGCTGTGTAATATTGTCCATAGCGACTCATTGGCATTCCTAGGTGATACATTCAGGTTGCACACTGAAGAAYTGCAGTTCCTTTTCCTCTTCAGCCTGTGGGCATCCCAGGCAGAACCAAATGTGTCTTGTGCCACTTTGAGGTCTCACTAAGGCACTCTCTGTGCTGCTACACAGACGAATGTTGTCTTACACTCAAATGACCCGAGAAGGTTCTTGTGCTGCCTTCTCCCTCCTGCTGGAACTATTGCACTGAATTTCTACTGTGCTAATTTTGTGTTATGCCCAAAGGCCAATTTGCTTGGATTAACACAGGTCCAGTTTAATAAATGTGTCCAGCTGTCTAATAGGTTTGAGCAAATGAACCTTAAACTGCCTGATTTAATTTAGAGTTAGTTTCCTGGTCTTGGTGCTTGAATTAAAATTAAGGAGTTGGCTGAATGTTAAAATTCCATGATGGAGGTGAAATCAGCCATGATAATGGAATGTCCAGCCCACAGAGAAGGAAACCAGCAATTTTGGAGATCACATTGGCTCTTTGTGTCTGACTTTGCATGGAATCACAACTTGTAACCCTGGGAAGGCTGCTAATATCACTGCAGTTTGATATAAACCCATTCTGCTTGCCCGGGATGTGTAGGTATCTAAGTATATGTCAGCTAGTGCTGCAGGGCTAGCATGAGCAGACTGCTTGCTTGGTCTGCAAGTCCCCTGTGGCTGAAAAAGCCTTTTTTTCTGTTGCTTTTTCAGCTCATGGATGAGGGGTCAAAGTAAGGTGGTATTCTGTATGGGGAAAAATCTGTTTGCCAGCCTGTGCTGTGCCAGTGGCAGCTGACTTGGCTATGAAGAAGGCATGGAGTGCCACTGTTGTGAAATGCGGCTTGATAGGATAAAGTGTGAGAGCTGCAAGCTTAATGTTTAGTGTTTTTATTTCTCTGGAATCGAATTGGCAGTGGGCTGAGGGCAGAACAGCAAATGTACAATGGTTTTACCCATGCTCTTAGACCTGTGCTTTTGCAATGGAGGTGGCTAGTATCACTATTTCAGTTTTAATGATTTAAGGCAAACACAGGGAGACCTGTCTGTAGACTAGCAGTCAGATCAGTAGCACTGCTAATGCTGGAATTTTTGATTTTCAATATACAAATCTCTTTCCTCAAACATGGTACTCTTCTCATCTATGTGTATCACTGTGATAGTTCCTGTTCTGAGGTGAAATGTAATGTTATTAAGGACATTTTTGTTTGAGAAGGTGCAGATACAGTCAGTCTCTTCTGCCTGAGCTCTAGGCTGGCCAAACACAGGTCAACTTTACTCTGTAAGCCATCCAAACACGTTCAGACATCACTCTCCCTAGCTGTTATGCCATGCTTTCATCCTTGTTAATACAGTCAGTCAGCCTATAGTTTCAACTAGCTTATATGTCTTAAAGGCTCAGAACATGGACAGAGTAATGTTGGGTGCACTTTCTCTGTCCCCAGAAGAGTTGTTSTAAGATGAATAGATGGATTTGCATCAGAAGAGCAGTGGCTGAATCTAAACAGTATAAAATGCTTGAAGAAGAATGTACGAAGGTTTATATCCAGGAGCTCGTTGGAGTTGCCTCCTGTGTAYTGTACAGCTTATATAGCAACTGTGTGGGTTTGTATCTATGTATATGTACTGTTCATCTGCAGCCCTTATTCTGCCAGAGGAGGAAAGATGTGGCCTGGTGGATCAGCCAGATGCCTTTGCTATGGTTCTGAAATAATCTGATCCTGCTTTTGGTATCAACATCTGTGTTTACCTCTTGCAGCCTCTCATCACCCTGGAGAGCAGCATCTCATACACCTTTGCCATGGAGGGGATGAACACTGTCACGGTGCAAGTTGCTGCAGGCAACACTCTGATCCAGGACACCAAGGAGATCGCAGTGCATGGTACCCTCAACCATTTACAATCAAAACTCAGGGGTTGTCTAGAGGTGAAGAACAGGCAGTTGATATTGAGCCTAAATGAGTTCTCTTTACTCCCCAATGTCCAAGAGGAACCTCTGAAAGCAAACTTTTATTAACCACGTCAAATAGATTTGTGCTGGTCATCAAATGCAGAACTGAATCAGATGGGATAACTAGCTCAGTCTGTCAACTCAGCATTGTAGTAAAATGACTGGTGTCTCTATTGACTTCCTGGCTGCATACCCTGACTACGAAGCTTGCAAAATAAAACACTTAGGGGCTGGAGCCACAGTGCCTTCCCTCTGCCTTCTAGCTCTGGAAAGAAACAGGCATGGTACATAGGTAAGGTGGCCCAAATACAGACAGTGTTCCTCTCCATATAGTGATTGTATAAACCAGTGAGGTCTGGGAAATAGGGACTCTGAAGTGGCTTCATTGCTGCCACCTCTGTCCATCTTCCATGCCACAGATGGAGATCTGAGTGTGGCTACTGGAATTTTCATGTAGCTGCAAGACTGACATTTGGTATGTTCTTAACATATTTGCAAATCATTGCACCCAAGACTCATCCTGTAGCTGACCAAAGAGGTGTTCCAGTTTGGGTCTTGGAAAAAGCTGAGTGGAATGGCTTTCCAAACAATCCTGGCCTGGTCTTTGGAGGTTTCTTCAGGGAATAATTATCCCTCCTGTGCTATTTTTCACTTTTTCTTACCCAGTTCCTGGCATCTGACATTCCAGGACTAGCTTTTCTTTGAAAGGCAAGTTTATTGAGAGATGTGGGCTTCAAATAATTGAGGTTCCACTATGTGGTTGAGCCTATGTGACTTGTGTCAGTAATTAGATAAATAAATGCCCTGCTGGTGGCTGGAAAGCTCTGTGTTCAGAGTTAACAAGCAGCTAAATAAGTATTTATTGATCGCCTAGCTGTGAAATGCAACGGGACTTAATAATCTGATAATATGATTTAGTAATACCCAAACTTACTATTAGCTAATGTAAGTAACTCTACTCGATCATTCTGGGCATTACAAAATGCAGAGTTTAGTTCTGGGCAGCTGCTGCAGCTTTCCACTGGTTTCTGGAACAAACCTGAATTAAGCTTATCAGAGCACAGCCTGAGAAGTGGCCTTCAGGTGATCTTATTGTGAAGTTGTGAAGTAAAGGTCCCAGTGGGTCCCACAGAGCATTCCTCATGTTCTGCTTTCAAACATCCTGTAAGGAATTTTGCCTTTTTGTGCAAAAAGGTCAAAAGCTTATGGACTGTATCACAAAAGAGGAATTCATCTTGTTGAATGTACAAATGGTCCTAGCTGTACCATGCTGGAGACTAATCTGGTCTAAGGAGAGTGTCATTCTAGACCCCAAAGCTAGTGTTAATTTAAAGCACATAAAAAGAAAGAACTGATCTAGCAAAATATGCAAGAGAAATGCGGTCCAGGTACTTCTTGCTATTCTGTGGATTTCTTCATTTGTACTCTTGCTAGTTTAACTTAATCTAAAACTGATACCTTCTTGCAAATGTCTAATGCTACTTATTTGAACTGTCTAGAGATAAAGTGCTTCAAGGTGAGGCACATCTCCATAAACAGAAGGGACARTCTTCTACCATGAGAACTTAAGTGATTCCCATTCTGAATCTGTGCCTCCAGTAATCTGTCTRCCTCAAATCCATTGTACATGTTTGACATAATGCACAGGGCTTGGACTCCTGTGCTGAGCATATTTGAAGAGTAGAACCTGTAAATTCTTCAAGAGCTTCCTGTTGCTAAAGGTGTGCAGCATGAGTTCGCTGCATGTTGACTTCTGTGCAGCAGAAAATACGTGTTTCAAGTATCTCTTCTGTAATGCAGGGCTGGCTAATCTGTTCTTCAGCTGTGGGCTGCATACCAGTATAGCTCTGTGAGGCCACTTCCTAAAGACATGGCAGAACATGAACAGTGGACCAGGTTAAGCATCTAAGCTTGTTCTAGGAACCCAAGAGGCATTCAGAATCATGCCAGAGTTATAAAGACTAATCTGTTTGACTAGTTCTTCTTTAAAGAATATCTCTTTTGTTGAAGATAATACCYTGTGGTAATGAAAATCTCACAACCAGCAAATGTGTTATAGCTATAACTAAGCAAGCTTCAGTTCCCAGCATCAAAGGTCAAGAGATCCCAGAGGCTCTGGAATGATCACTAGAGAACAGCCAGGCAAGAGAGGAATAAAATAAGGGAGAAACCAATCTAACTTAGGTGAAAACTGATGCTGAAATGGCAGGTTAGAGATAGTCCCTAAAGGCAGGTGAAGGGTTTTCCTAGGGAAAGGCTGTTGTACCAACAATTGAATGATTCTGGTGACATTAGAGAGGAGATTTGGAGAARTTTTTTTAATTGTTCTGCATTTAAATCAATCTAAGAATTTTTCCTTCCTCCCTGCAATCTGTCAATTGGGGAGTAATTTTGGAGTGTTTTATGAATAGCCCTTGCCTGATTAGCCTGTCATTAGCACTATTGGGCTCTGATTTGTTGGGATATTAACCACTCATGGCTTCACTCCATGAGAGCAAACAGATAATGCCTGCTTTTGAAAATAYATTACTTACAGTAGGTGTTTGCCCCGCAGAGCACAATGCATGCAATTGCACAGACCTCTCAAATTTCAGCCAGWTGCCTCCTTATTTACTGATCAGCTTCTTTGTAGGCAGAATCAGATGAAGTTTGGTGGCAAAATACAAAGCTCAGCAGCATCACAAAGAGAAGGCATCCGYTCATTCCTTCTTCCATTTCTTCTGGGAAGAACCACAAAACATTCTTTATAAGGACAAGCTTTGCAAGCTTTCTCTTCTACTTAGTTTTAACCTRCCATTTTATTTCCTTCGTCCTTTCCTCTCTCTGTTTTAAGATTCTTTAATTATGTTCTTTCTCTTGACTTCAATGAGCTTTAGCTGTTTCCTGCTCATTTAATCTCATTGATACTGTTTTTCTACTCCAGAATATTTCCAGTCACAACTCCTGTCATTTTCCCCTAACTTGGACTACCACAACCCTGACATCCCTGAATGGAGACAAGACATTGGCAAAGTCATCAAGAGAGCTCTAACACAGGTAAGCAGCATCTCTTTCCTCTCCTTCTGAGCAAACATCGTCTAGGCTGTTGAAACAGGCAGACTTTTTTTAGCATGCTAGCCTCGAAGAATGGGAAAGAACAGCAGTAATGAAGCTATCATTTTGAATCGACTGCTTCTTAATGTGCTGGATCTTTTTATAGAGACAAATTATATTAGGAATTTTGTGGAAATATTGTAATTACTGTTATTAATGTTTCTGTGACAGCTTTGAGCCGATAGTATCCCTGAGGACTTTATATATTCTAGATTTAATAGCATCACTGTTATTCTTATTTTGCCAAATGGATAGTAAAGGATTCACTGTTTTCTACTCCAAACATTTGGATAGTTTTAYTGTGTGTTTTTCAAGAGCTAACCTATCCCATCCCAGAGGACAGGCACTGTAATATGTTGATGTGTGAGAAAGATCCTTTAGCTATTCCTAGTATTGAGACTTAATGGAGATAACTATAATCTAGTARGTATTACAGACTTCTACTCACTATCCAGCTGGGACAAAAAAAAAAATAGGAATGGAAGAGAAAACAAACCTACCTTTTAAAATACAAGCAAAGAGAAACTTCTGGAGTTGAAGACACTGAATCTTCTTTCAGATTGATTAGAATATGTAAACTAGTACTCAAATTTTTGCAGTAAATGGGGCAGAATAATTAATATTATTAAGTAGATAATATTTTCAAGTTTGGTTTTGTGTGAAATCAGGAGATAGATTTAAGAAAGCTTTTGTATTTTTACTATCTGCCAAAAAAAAATCTTCTGTTTTCACTTCAACCATGTCTGTTCTTAGATATGGAAACAAATTATTTTTACAGGGAAAGTACATTCTTAGACAACTCTTCCCATCTGCAGGCCACTCAAAATTTGCGTTTTTGACAGTTTCCTTGATTGTGTTCYCATCCTGAGAAAACACCTAGTCCATTTGTTTAAAATTGTTCTTCCCTTTTACTGTAATCAGAGTCAGGTTTGCAGAAAAAATAAGTAATGTTGTAACTATGAATGGTTATAGACAGCAGTAGGAATCACACTGAAGTGCTTGCTAATRCATCCGTTTTGCCTATTTGTCTGCAGCCTCTGGGTTATGCTTACAGAACAGTTCTCCAGGGATAGGCTGACACTGTAGTATTATTTAACTCTTAACTCGGGAATGAGTTAGGGCGGGATGGAACCAGGTTGCTCATGGGTTTAGCCTCCAGAAGTTTCAGAGAGAGGAGCAGCTTCCTGCCCAACTGCAGGACTTGGGGTGGGGAGTAGCAGTGTTAGTGGGCAGGTCAAGATGAAGCAGGTTTTGAGAGTTAGGTCTAGAAACATCTGTTTGGCAAACTAAGCAGTCCTCAAGGGGCCAGCAAGTCAGTCCCTGAGTGAAAGAACTCCAAGTGGAGACATTCACACAGACATGTGCATATGGCAAGTGGAGATCTCCATAACTGTATACTAGAAGGTGATTTCAGGCATTTTTCTTTGTACATCCCAATTAGTTGCATGCTCACCAGCAGCTTTTACTGTGAGAGGAACTATATGGAATATTTAGATCTGGATACATGGTAGGTTTGGATTTTGAACACAAGGTTCAGGTCTTTGGGTCTAAAGATATTGCCAGGCTTGTTTTTACTTTTTAAAACATTTTCTCCTCTTCTTTTTTTTTTTTTTTTTTTTTTTTTAGGTGACTGGTATCCCTGATGAACAGGTCCTGGTAGCTGTATTTCCTGGACTGCCTACCTCTGCTGAGCTCTTCATACTGCCCTATAAAAACACAACAGAGAGGAGGAAAAGCAGTGAGGCTGATCTGGAGCAAGTAAGGAAAGAAGGATTCACAGAGTGACAGAACATTCATTCCCATCATAGCATTTTCAGATGGGCCCCTGAATCTGTGTAACATTGAAAATGACGTGCAACAACCATAAGAGATCTGCATGCCTGTAGGACTGGAGTGGTATAGTGTATGGGATTAAAAATGATTTCTACAGGGAAAATGGTATTTCCAAGTATCTTACTGAGTTGTTGCACAGTCTACCAGCAGTGGTTCTTCCTGGATCTCTAGTGTGTCCTCATTATAGAAGTTATGGCCAAAGAAACTTAAATATATACTCCCTTCACCCCCTGGAGAAATGGTAATAGACACAGGCCAAAGCAGCAAGATAATATACTGAGGTTTACTAAAAATAAATCAGACTCTTCAGCTCGTATATCACCAGAACAAGACCTCTTTATTCTGCAGCAGTGAATGGCATGTGCAAACTATATTTGGAAGTTACAATATCCATCCATTTAGATAAATAGGTAATTACAATGATGAATAGCAACAGTGATATGCAGGCAAGGGAAGAGCTAGGAACAACAGCACTCGTATGCTGAAGCTTTCATGCTAGAATTACCAAGTGATTAAATCAGCTCTATAAAGGCAGAAAGAGTGCAAGTACTGCTGGAAATGCTGTTTAGCTCAATATAATGTTCTTGTGTGCACCATTTTTACTGTGTAAAAGCTATGTCTGAAGCATCTGAAAGCAGCTACAGGACTAACTGTTGTGATCAAACTCTTAATTCTTTGGAATTCAGGACTGCAGAATTCTTTGGAAACTTCTGTCACTCCCGTGAAGCAACCAAATCACATGTCATACCTGAGTTGCTTGGCCATGAATTAAAATCCACTCAAAGACCCCCCACTTATAAATGAAGGAGAAATATGGCGAATGTGACATGAAGGGAGCAAAAATGTGTTGCTCGGTTGGACCCAGCTCAGTTCCAGCATGATGCTAAGGCAGAAGTTCTCAGGGATTTCAAAGGATGTTGTGGAGGGTGAAAAAAACATTATTTCTCTTCCAAAAACATTTTGCTAGTTTTATTTCTTTATTTTCTTCCTGGGAGAGGCATAATGACTTACTCTGTACATCTCAAATGTGCATCTATCTTGTAGGGAGAACTGTGCAGAATAACATTCAGTTCCACCTAAAACATAGATACACATGTTCTCTCTTCAGCCATTCCTCAGTGTCTCCTCTCCGCTCTTTTCCCCCTTCTTTATGAAGCCAGTAAGAGATGTTAGTCAAAATTAACAGACTACGTGCATTCCTGAACRTTCTTTCAAGCTAATTCTTTTGTTCTATTCTGTACTTTAACTTATATCTCTTATTTCATCAGGTTGTTGAAATCCTTTTTAATGCTCTTAACCAGAACCTGGTCCAGTTTGAACTGAAGCCTGGTGTTGAAGTCATCGTGTATGTCACTCAGTTAACGTTAGGTGAGTGTGGAGTCAAACATGTGGGTTCAGTTTCCTGGAGGCTTCAGACTCCAGGAGAACAGGTCTAGGTCAGGTCACTTGCAGAACTGGTAGATGCTGCTGAGTTACYTAGGATAGCTCATACCGAGACAGTGTCTGTGCCAGGAGGAGAAAGTGTTAAATACAGTCCTGCAGTGGTGGCTTCATGCACCAGTTGTACKAGTATTACAAGTACCATTTGCCAGTTCCCCATGGCTTAATTAACGTGCTGGTGTTTTTCAAGTGTTTTAAGAAAATCAGGTGAGTGGTATTCTGTTAAGCCCTCATGCTTCACCTGTGGAAGCATGAGTATATTCTTACCAACTTTCATGGATATTGAATCATTTCCTTATTGCAAAGGGCTTCCTAATATTATGATTATCGGAGAAGTTTTACGTGGGTGAAATAGTAATGAAAAGAAGACTTGGGCCTCTTGCAGAGGTATACTTGCCTTAAAAGTGACTTCTTTGTACGTGTTACATGTACATGACTTAAATTTGAATACTGTCTATCTCCATTTTCATGCAGAGTAGTGAATAGTCCCTTTAAACACTATCTCATGACCCCCTTTCCTATAGACCAYCCTTAGCGTGAAGCCAAACTGTTGCTGAATTTAGACCACCCTAGCGTAAAGCTTTCATCTATTGCTAAGACACTGATGGCTATACAGCAGATGCTGGATTTATTTTACCCTTGATTTTGATGACTGCCTTTGCAGTTATCGGAGAAGTGGGATCTCATGCATGTGACATAGCTGATAGCCTCTCTGAGAGATTGCAGTTCGTGTTCTAGGATGGTACATTTCAAAATCCTTTTTCATGAGACTTTCAGAGAGCCAAGAGCTGGGCTAAGCCATGATTCATGACTTGTCCCACAGATAATGCCTCAGCCTTTTACTTGGTGGTGGGATTTGGACATTAACGGAAGCAGTCTGGAATGAATAAATCTGCAAACTGGGAACTAGACTCTAATGTCTGCATTCAGAATCTGCTTTTTTTTCTGGAGAAAAAAAAAAGAAATCTGCAGTAGTGCAGATTTAGGTGGCAATGCTCAACTGTTCTCACACCTTCAAGTTGGGATGCTGGGTGTGCATTTGTTCGTGATCATTCCCATAGCATTTTGATTCAAATGAAATAGGAGCCAGTTCTTTTCCAAGAGTCTTCAGAAATGCTGGAAGAAGGATACTGGCAGGATAAGACTCCCAAGTGGAAAGATTTGGGTATGGAACTAGAAATGTTTCTATCTGCATAGACTTGTTCCCATCCCATGGGTCATAGAGAAAGAACAGAGAACAATAAAAACACTGAACCAAATATTTATGCAGAATGAGAAACTCTGCTGCTACTTACAATCATTTGCTCATCATGAGGGTCTTGTCACTGGACTTTGATTTTCAGCACGCTGTTCATACYGTTAAGCCATAGATGCCTCCCTCAGTGTGCTGTTGGAGAAACTGTACACAGAAGATTATAAAATAGATTGTCTTTAGCCTGCTAAAAATGCCAAACATAGATGGATCAGAGCTCCAAATTGTTCTAAAGTAGTGCATGCTTGGGTCTAGGATTGTTTCTTTGGACTCTATCCCCATATGAAGAGTGAACTCATTTAAAAAGTCATGGGCTTATATTTAATGTTTGACAGCCCTGAGACTTCTCATGAGAAGAGATCTCTGTCACAAGTGAGACAGACTTGACAATGGAAAATGGGAGACACAGTGTTCTGTGGACAGAACACTGAACAGTGAACAGTGAACAGTGTTCATGGATAATCTGAGATACCTTCTCCAAAGCAGAACAGACATAAACCACAGTGTCTGTGAATTGAGTCATACTTYATAAATTTCATTTCTACACCAGTCTTTGGGAAAGATGGAATAGCTCAGAATATTAGCACAGGACCAATTAGCCATTCAGATGGGCGTGATTTGTTGGTGCCTTTTCACTAGTAGATGTTAGCCTGCACTGTCTTGAAAAGGGAGCTTGGATTTCAAAGGACAAGGAGATCAATTTGTTTCCTACTGATTTGCCTTGCTGAAAACACCATGCTGCATGCAGTAGTGATAATAAAGCACACATAGCAGAGAGAAGACAGTTCAGCACTCTGATACCTGTGTGTTCCCTAGTAAGGAACAAATGCAAATGTAATTCTCTCTCTTTCCTCCTGCAGCGCCCCTGGTTGATTCCAGCACAGGCCACAGCAGTTCGGCGATGCTGATGCTCTTGTCTGTGGTCTTTGTAGGCTTGGCTGTTTTTTTAATCTACAAATTCAAGAGGTAAGTAGAGAAAATTTTGAGGGTGGGAGGAGGAGACAATGGATAGCTTCTAAGAAAGCTAAGCAGAGCTGTGCCTCGACTGTAGAAATTAAATGATTTATACAGTTTAAGGTTTGAATTTTTTAGCGATAGTAGTCAAAAGGACACTGTCCGTTAGGAAGAATGATATTTTCCAGCAGTTGAAGATTTAGCTGTTGATAGCCCTAGATCTGCATGATTAACAAACTTGAGATCTGTCACTGGATTTATGCTGGTTGAGAATTTTCAGTCATTTCTGAGAGTCAGAAGTGTATGTCTTGAAAGGCTCTGGCCTGAGCATCTTCATCAGATTGACTTGTAGTAGACTCAGCTGATCAGTGATCCTTTGGTTGTTTCAAGATCACATCTCTCTCGTTGCTGAATATATAACACCCTCTCCTGTCCCTCCACCACAGGCTCTGTGCCCTGGAAGCTCACTGAAAAAACAAGCTGTGATCTGCATCAGCAGGCTTGTTTGAACCATTGGCCAGAAGTGGGAATCCTGTGTGCTTCCTGAGTATTGAGCTACTCAATACAAACCTAGTCAAAAACCACATGGTGGGATGTCTCTCTATGTTCTGTGGCCCTCTTGCCAAATGCCTTTGTACAGCTGCATCTCATTTGTATCTTGAAAGTGAATAGCTTAGTCCTGCAGAGGAGCAGGTGTGATTATGTTAAAATAGGGAGACTCAGAGCCACAAAGGTTTGTGTTAAGCATCAAAATGCCTTTGGGAATCTGGGCTAAGATTTCTCTTTTGCACTTTGCTTTTGGCAGGCTGCAGGTCATATTACGCAGCTACAGCTCATAAAACTAGCCCTCATACTCCTTAAGTATCCTGAGCCTTAATAAAAACCTGAGTATAACTCCTCTGCATCTGATTTGATTCTGCTGCATGCTGAGCTTTCCGCATACCTTGCTCCAAGCAAAGATGGATGTTGAGAGCAGCCTCATGCGGTGCTTCAGGTCTGGGGAGACCCTGCCTTTTCAAACCTGGCCAAAAATGGAATCTATTACGAGTCTGGAAAGTAGAATGGTGGTTGAAGTATGGGTTTTGCTTAACCGAAGCCTGTCAGCTTGCGTCCCATTCCTGTATGCTCTGCCCCAAACAGGAGAAACCCATCAAACTGGCAAAACTTAGTGTTTGTTAGTTAAAAACTGAGAGTTCTCTGAGGTAGATTTTTTTGGAACAGAAAGCAATTTCTTTAGTTCCATCCAAAACATTTGGATCAATGGATCAGAGAGGAGAGCGGGTGACAACTCCTAATGGAAAACAGGAGGTGAAAACAAAAGCTTTCCTCGAGCTCTCATTGTTCCAGAGGCCCATTAGCAATATGTATGTTTGTGATTAACTGTGATCCTGGCCTGAATACACAACTGCTGCTCACAGGAAAAGGTGGTGGGGAGATCATGGGTCTGCATGAATTTTAATTTTCACAAATTCAGAAAATCAGCACTTTGCTGGTTTGCACATAGATTCCTTGTTATGAGTCCATTGAGCTGTACACTCAGCAGGAATGTTAAGGAAAGATGCATGTTGAGGATTTCTGGGTGGAAAAGGAGCAGGAAAAATGCTGGGTGCRGAAACCTAGGGAAATTTAGGGGGCAAACAAAAGTTCCCCTCTCCAAGTGCACTATGTGTGACTTGTGAAAATGCTAACAGGSAAGTTCTTGTAGTTAATTCTGTCACTGCTGAACAAAATGTGAATCACAGCCACATAACTACAGCCTTTTCTGTGTAGCATTTATGTTTGTTAGTGATCTGTAAGACCTGTTTGTGGGTGAGAAAGGGAGTGGGTGGCAGAAAGGAGGAAGAATGTGAAATTTGTTAACTGTTACTAAACATCCCAAATATGTCCTGACTTCTTGTTGGTTAAGAGCAGAATGCAAAATCAAGCCAATAGCACAAGGAATTGGATGCCAAAACATAAAATCAGTGTAGCTCTCTTGAATTCATGAGGTTTGAGACAATTTCCAATGCTTTCAATCTGTGACATAGCCAGAAGCAGAAAGGTTAGCATAAAGAGATAGGATTTTATGTAACTTCTTTCAAAGGCACTTTCTGCCCTGTGATTTAAGTAATAGAACAAAACCCCTGATTTCTGCCGTTTGGGCAATGTGGAATGCATGGCACAGAGCTCTTTTAAGGGTATTAAAAAACAAAATTGACACCTCCTTACGGACCACACACAGTCTTGGCAACCCCTACTGAATCGGTGTGGTTCTGTCTACAGAACAAATCTAGCTTTTTTTTTTTTTTTTTTTTTTTTTTTTTTTTCTCCAATTGATAGTAATGCTCAAGTCAAATTTTTAATTCGGGTTTCCAGTGCACCACTGATCATGTAATAGATGCAAAGAATTGGGAATTGCATCTGATTCCACTTAACTGATTGCTGTTATCTGAGCTGGATGTGCAGTATCCTCTGTGTTCTCATTTCAAAGGACCAGTATATTTAGGTTTGAGTTGGATGGGCCCATGGGCACTGGCAGGCAGTGGCCTGAGACTTGGAATAGTATAGTATTAAACTAGTGTTGGCATTAGTGACAGCTAATGGAGCTCTGCAATCTGAGCATCACTTTGATTCTTTCACCATTGTGAGAGCTAGTACTCCACTGCAAGTACTGGCATTGCTGGGATCAGTCTCAATTTAATGGATCTGATTCATCAATGACATGCCCMAAATCCCAGATTTACAAAATATAACCTCTCATTTCCTTTTCCTGTGCAGGAAAATCCCTTGGATTAACATTTATGCCCAAGTTCAGCATGACAAGGAGCAGGAAATGATCGGCTCTGTCAGCCAAAGTGAAAATGCCCCTAAAATCACCTTAAGTGAGTTCACAGACCCGGAGGAGCTGATGGACAAGGAGCTGGACACGCGAGTGATGGGTGAGACACAGAGCTCTGCTGGGGCTTGTTTCACTCTGTGGGTGAGGGTGTTGGTCACTGGTGCATTAGGGTAGGCAGTGACCGTGATCCCAGGTGCCACTGCAGGTCAGCTCTKGAGCCAGGGGCACTGGAAAATCTCCCTGTCTGGAACACAGTAGCAGGGAGTTATTTTCCTAGACCTTTTCAGTCTTTCTCATAGGGTTTGTTACATGGCCAGCACAGGAGCCTGGAAGCAGTGTGTAGTCGTAAGTAATGGCTGTGACTATCACCTCGGCCTGTTTGYGACCCTCTCTCTCCTGAGAAGGGATCCCAAATGCCCTGAGTCCTCAGAAGAATTGATTAAGCCAAGCTTACAGGGTTGTTGTACTACCAGTTACATGCGAATATATGGCTTACGGAATTACTGCTAGTCGGCTCTGTGCTTACTGCAAACACCAAGCAGGGTGGCTTGTTTTTAAGCACCTTTATGTCTCTACATTGCACAAGCTCATCATAAAAGGAATTGAGAAGCAGTATAGACCAGACTGCTGAAGCCACTGCACTGACTCCCTCTTTTTTTTTCTTCCTTATAGGAAGCATCTCAACAATTGCCAACAGCGAAAGCACAAAGGAAATCCCTAACTGCACTAGTGTTTAATACTGGAAATCCACTTGGTCTACAACATTTCTGACTTTTTATTTGTAATTATTATTGTTATAATTATTATTATTATTATGAAAAGAAAGAAAGAGTTATATGTCATTATTATCATTTGGGAGGGGATGGGGTGGGTTTTTTCTGTTTACCAGGGCTGCATTCCTAAATAACAAGTGTTCTTAGAATTTGGGAAATACTCAACAGATCAGAAAGTAAAAGCAAAATACAATGGGATTTGAATGCCAGCATCCCATTAAGTACAAAATAAGAATTAAATATTCAAATCCAATAGGTAAATTGGGCAGCATGTTGTATATAAATGGTCCCTTTTCCACTCTTTCCAGAATAAGTCATGAATCAGCTAGTTCGTCCTGCCAGACTGCGTTGTTGAACCAGGGCTCAGACTGCGTTGTTGAACCAGGCTCTGTAACATGCCAGCAGCCCTTATTTTCCAGTGACATGCATGTCTCGGCTCTGTGCTGGATCTGGCCTCCTTTAATTGCTTTTTATTTTAATCACCCTCTGGCTTTTTTGATTATGGAGAAAAGAAAACAGAATAATCAAACACAGCAGTGTTCCTTGGATTGTGGAGTGGTTGGCTGGAGGCGGCAGCACACAAGCAGTCAAGAAGCACGCCTGARTTTATGAATGCAGCCCAAACCCCATGCATGTGAATAGCGAGGATGCCGAAGGCCTACTGTAGATAATTACAATGTACATAGCTTTTTATTTCTTGGGAAATAATTTAATGTTTAGTAAAAGAAATGTTTAAAACAAAACCTGAACCACATGCACACATRCACACACACACACTTGTACATGCCAGCCAGCCAGGGACTGGGGTGAACACTTGAATCACTCTTTTGTTCCGAGCGTGTTCCAGTTGTCTGTCATATTTCAATCTTACATTGCTGTGTAAAACTAGCACAGATGATTTCTTCATGTATTACTGCAAGCCTCTTAAAAACATTATTATTTCTGATGATGGAGCAGAAAGAGATTTTAGCAGGACAGCCTGTGAGGCTGTCATGAATATTTCAGTGATGTTCAAGAATTATTCACATCTATCACTTGTCGCACCCATTGTAGCACCCGTTAGGGAGAAGGAAGAAAGAAAACAGACAAAATTATCATGTTCTCGATGTGAGCTAATACCAGTGTGGTGGCAGCACCCCAAGGCTCAAATAAGGTACAAAGGCCAAGCTGACCCTACAGCCTCAACTCAGCAATGAGCCAGGTTGCAGTAGCTTTGCTGCTGGTGAGAAGTCATGCTTTAGCAGTTAAGCTAGTGAGGTAAAATGCTGTAGAGAGGAGAGTTTTAGATTCTGGCTATTGAGCATGACAATTGATATGATGAGGGCACACAGGATGAGACCTGCTTCACAACTGAGCAAGCCAAGTCCTTTCCTGTGAATGCAGCAGAATGACTTACAGGCTTATAGTTCTGGGTGGAAATGCTATCAGAACAACCTTTGCATGGTGGGTTGRTGCTTTCCAAACAGAAAATGGAAATTAATACAGAAGATGTAGTGAAAAGTTCTTTAGGATTATGAAATTTCTAGCACACCGAGTTAAGGATAGCCCTTAGGAGTGGTGGAGTTTTTGCTCAGGAGGTAAACACTGGTGGTTTATTGTAAACATTTTTTTCTTGAGTCGGTGATGCTAAAGATGAGCCTTATTCTGCAGAGTGCTGAGTTAGAAGACCAAGTGGAAATGGAAGAATGGAGACACTTTTTGGAAGATGTTCCAGAGCTTGCATGGTAATAAGAGGCATAAATCAGGTCAGGTGACAATGTTTTGTAACCGGCTTATAGGGTTTGGATAGAGGACTTCACCTTTAATACATATGCACTGAGATGAGGAGATGGCAAGGATAAGGTGTTACTAGCTACCTCCCTGCATGCCAACTGACTGCAAACCACCCTCTACTCTATTTGTTCACTCTGTTAATAGTCTTTCAAAAGCTGGAATCTTGATGTGACCTAAAGCAGGTGAGAAAAGTGGTTAAACATAATTTTACAAATGAACTCAAGAGGTATTTTAAGATTAAATTGTTAAAACCTAGGGAAATACTCTTTTGTAGGGGGATATTAAAGCTAAATAATCTCACTTCTGCTCCTACATTTAAGTCAGGCTTGTGGGGTTTTCTGTTAATTTATAAAGAATCCTTCTCTATTTTCTTCTTCACTTTTCTGCTCCAGTTCCTAGTACAAGCTGGAGAGTGATGGCTGTATTTTTCTCTCTGACCTTGAGTTTCCATCCATCACATGTGCATATACTGTTGCGTTACTGTCTCTGTTCCACTGAAACACCAAAGTAGTTTACAGTAATGGCCCARTCTGGTGATAACACTATTAGTGCAAGGCCATGGCTTCCCATTTAGATCTAGATGGGAGGGGTGTACATAAACAATGGTCCTGTGGGCCTTGAGCTAAACTCTGGGCTGATCTCAGTCTTTGCTGATCGTTAGGATTTGAGGGACTGCTTTTGTAAGGTGCTGCACAGGGCTGAATGAGAAATAATCACTGTTTCCTCTAGTACCTTTTGTTTTTTTTTTTTAAACCTGAAAACAAAGTGATTATTTTTTTCACTGATGGTTGGAATTTTCTAGATTTTTCATGGAAGTTATCATCCATTGATTTAAAAAAAATAGGAGATTACAGTTTTCACATTTGGGGTCTCCCTGTACGTTCTTCAAGATGCAATGGAGAGGTAGTCAGATCTCCAATAACAAATGAGAGAAAGCAAGGAAGGAAAACTAGGAGTAGGCCACTGAAAAGATAGAAACATTTTTCTCATAATGAGATTTACTCTCAGTAAGGCTGAGAAGATTCTAAATGATGCAGTTAATTGCTGGAGAAACATCTGTCCAGCAATCCATTTTCCATACAAAACTCTCCTAAAGGTGCTCAAAAATAAACAAATAGAAAAACCACAGAGTCAAAACTAAATGTCCCCCCCCCCCCAACAAAAAAAAAAATTGATTCTTGAGTGGACTCAAACTTCATCTTCCATGAGATCTAGTAGGTATTATTATGTCTTCTTCTTTGGAGATCTTCCAAACCTGCCTGAGTGCCACCCTGTTCCATGGGCTGTAGGTGTCCCTGCTTGAGCAGGGTGGGTTGGACTAGATGGTCTCTGGAGGTCCCTTCCAACCTCAACCATTCTGTGATTCCCTATTCTCTCTGGATGGGTCATCACATTGGTCTCTGGACCAGAGTGCAGTCCATGTGCAGCCAGAGAGAGCTCACCCAAGGATGTATGTGGCACCATGTTTGCCAGATCAGACTTGCTGTGTTAAAACACCAGCTGTGGTTGATGGCAGATGGAACGTGGGCATGCTGTGCCCATGGCTGATCTGGAGGCTGTTCCTTCAGGATGCCAAAAGGGCATCTGCTGCATCCCAGTGGGATACCTGAGGCTGTAGCTCTCTGTGGCACCTCTGTGAGGTTTGAATTAGGCCATCAGCATTATCCATCTTTCTTGAGATATTCTGAGCTGGGACCTTGGCACAAACTGGAGGACTGTCCACTTCCATTTGTGTATCTGATATTGTGGAATGTTGTCATTTTTTTTTTCCCTTGAACTTTTCCCCTGAGGAAAACAATGGAAATGCTTAAAGCTGTAGATGATTATTTATCTACGTAAGGAGGGCAAGAGGTAGCACTATGAATAAAGCATGAGTAGATCCCACTGTAGTTGTATAGAAAGAGAAAAGGAGAGAGTGACCAAGGGACCAGGTCATTGCCCTCTATCGCTGCCAGCCTTTCCCACATGATGGACTCTTTTGTAGTAGCTACAACACAAGAATAATGCATGAGACCTGGAGACTAGCTGCACCTCTTGACTCTGTATGGCCATAAATTGGGTGTAAACACCAATAGATCCTTTACTTAGTTTATCCTGCRCTTGAGAGTTCCCAGACTAAAGCTTGGCAGGATCAGAGATCAGGCCAGAGCAGCTATGGACCACAGCATTTTTTAGTTGTAATTGTCTTAAATGAGAACACGTATGGGAAAGAGTTGGTTTTCTTCCATGCTAAGCTTTGGTTTTAGGGAAGCGCAAAGATAAACTATTATCTCCCTTTCTTTTCAGTTAGCTCTGACAGAAATTTGAGTTTGCCCTGCTCTGACAAACAAAATCAGAGCCCTCATCTCACGTCTGATGATGTTTGACAGTGCATTAAACCTAAACCACCACCATGTTTTTAAAGGATTAAATGAGGCAGACAATTGCAATACTTGTATTAAACACAGTAATACAAATGCATGAGTCATAATATATACATATATATATATATACTGTTCTTGGTTTTATTGTTCCATTTGAATATTTCTACTGTAAAAAAAGGCAGTGGTTTTGAAATTGTTGAAAATAAATGTATTTTTGTACATCAGAGTTACCCTGGCTGCTCTTTCAATCCTTCTCCTCCTGGGTTTCCTTTTGGTGGAATCTCCTCTGTCTGCTCTGAACTTTCCTTGCTCCCTTCAGTCTTCCAACTCAGGACTGAGTCCTGTCAAACACGTGGAAAATGAGCAGAGAAGTGTGTGGTAAGGTAGTTTTTAAGATAAATGATAAAGCTGCTAACTTTCATTTCTTCTTACTACTTCCTTTCAAAAAATAGTTACCTCATTGCCTTTCCATCCAACAGGCAGATCCTCTTTGGAGTCTGGGAGGCAAACAGGAAAGGGGAACAAGCTGTTTCTGCAGATAAGGTCCCTGCGTGACTGTAGTCTGCAAGAGTCTGTCAAATTCTCATGCTGCAAGAAAAAGGCTTCTTCACTCCTTGACACAAGAGACCATTTAAAAAGGAAAAAGAYAAGAGTATGTAAATGTGTTTCTGGATGTGTATTAACCATCTCCCTTTGAGTGGATGCATACACACATAGAATGGCCTGTCCTTTAGACCTGAAAGTCCACATAAGCTGCAGATTTCTTGCAAGTGGGAGAGATACTTGAGAAATAAGTCTTCATAGCTGTCTTACTCTTGYAGTCTTTGAGTGTCCTGCTACCAGACACTGGTTAGTGTAGACTAATGATTCAAATAGATCTTTTGTCTTAC